GCACTAAATTACTTCAATTTATGTAATTTAAACGTCGATAATATTACATTTTTATAGCAGAGTCGTAAAAAGTTTTAAAAATGAAAACTATTTAGTGTGAATAACCTTCTGACCCCTGACACTTACCAGCTCTATGTCCAGGATGTGTGTAAAGTGGATAGCCTGCTGCAGGGTGCGTGGCGATTATTCGGTCAGGTAGATGCACTCATCGCTCAGCACCACGTGCATGAACACTTTGTTAAGTGCCTCCGAGACAACCACGCATGGCTCATAAGTTCGTAGGCCCGCTCGTACCCCACTGACAGTTTTCCACTGCTGGTCCACCCTCGGACCACCCAGATGTCTGTCTTGCCAAGCTCTAACTAGTTTTTAATCTCCTCAAACAGATTTTAAATGCCCAGAGAAATAAATAAAATAAACTTATACAAATTTTACAAACAACCGAGAGAAAAAAAAATAATGACTAGGCCTGACATAAAATGATGTTGCTAAAGCTGTGTTAGATGTAAATTATTTACTAATCTAATTTACAAAGTGTAACTAAAGAAAGGAAGGAAGGAAAAATCAGTAAATTGGACTGAGTGGAAGTGAGTGGAAAATGAGCGATGATAAGTAGACTTTATCAAATTTGATAAAAGTGGCCCACCATGCCCACTCTATCATCCAACTCAGTTAGTCCTCTCTGAGCTCTGTAGGGATACTGTCATCTCTCAACATCTGTCCTTACAGACATATTCAGCTGCAAAGGCTGAATACTGTTCCAGCATTCAATACTTTTATTATGGTCCCAGTATACCCCTCTAACCCTCACAAAAAAAAAAAATAAAAATAACCGGCCTTAATGATTACAGAACAGTGAATCTCAGCTCTGTGTTATCATGAAAAGCTTTGAAAGGCTGGTCATGGAATTCCTCAGATCCACAGCTTTGGACCTTTGGACATAGTGCAAATTGCCTGTAGATCCAGCACATCTGTACATATGTTGATCTCCTTTTAATAGTAACACGTGGACTCTCTAGGTACATACAGTGCTGTGAAAAAATATTTGCCCCTCACCTGATTTCTTCTATTTTTCCTAATTTGTCACATTTAAATGTTTTATATCATCCAACTAATTTTAATGTAAGATAAAGGCAACACAAGTTAATACAAAATGCAGTTTTACATAATGATTCCTTTTCTTGAAGATAAAGATTTATTCAAAACCTATATCACCCATGTGATTAAGTAATTAAGTAATTGCCTCCCTAGGCCTAATAACTGATTGTGCCACCCTTGACAGTAACAACTACAGTCAAACATTTACAATAACCTGTGATCAGTCTTTTACATTGCTACATTACATTGCTTGTCACAGCATCTCAATGGGATTCAAGTCAGTCTTTGACTCGACCACTCCAAAACCTAATTTTGTTTCTTTTGAGCCTTTCTGAGGTGGACTTGCTTGTGTGCTTCAACTGCAAGTGAAGCCTGCGGTTCTTCAGATGTTCGTCTGGGTTCTTCTGTGACCTCGCATCTGTATTTGAATCTCTTTAGAACGTGGCATCATGTGCTGCTTTTTGAGACCTTCCAGTCTGCTTCACATTTCCAGACAGGTTCTACTTAAGTGATGTTTAGATTCAGCAGGTCTGGCAGTAATCATGGCTAGTGAAACTGAACCCAATTGTCAATTGAATTTGGTTAATTGGTTAATTTAGTAGCTAAGGGGGCAATTACTTTTTCACATAGGGCCAGGTAGGGCTGAACAGCATTTGTCCTGAATGAAATCATCATTAAAACAGCACTTTTAGTTTACTCTGGTTATCTTTGTCTAAAATCCTGGACACATCCTCAAAGCATGTGCACATCAGCTCGCAGGAGTGTTCACAGACATCTTTAACCTCCCTCTCTCGCTCTCAGTTGTGTCTGCATGCTTCAAACTGGCCACCATTGTGCCAGTTCCAAAGTCAGCCAGGGTTAATACTTTAAATGACTGGCTCCTGGTTGCTCTGACCTCCATCATAAGCAAATGCTTTGAGAAGTTGGTCAGAGACTTTATCTGCTGCTCACTACCTGCCACTCTGGACCCACTGCAGTTTGCCTACAGACAGAACAGATCCACTGATGATGCAATAGCCCTGACTCTACACAGTGCCCTGTTCCATCTGGAAAAAAAGAACGCGTATGTGAGAATGCTGTTTGTGGACTATAGCTCAGCATTTAACACCATTGTGCCCTCAAGGTTCGACATCAAGCTTCGGGATCTGGATCTGAACAGTTCCTTGTGCAGCTGGATACTGAACTTTTTGACGGGCCAATGCCAGGTGGTAAGAATGGGTGATATGACCTCCTCCTCACTGACCCTTAACACCAGAGCTCATCAGGGCTGTGTGCTCAGCCCTCTCTTGTACTCTCTGTTCACCCATGACTGCTCAGCCAGACACAGCTCCAATGTCATCATTAAATTTGCAGATGACGCCACAATTGTGGGCCTGATCTCCAATGACAATGAGGAGGCCTACACTGGTGCCAGGAGAAGAACCTCTCTCTCAATGTCGACAAGAGCAGGGAGCTCATAGTGGACTTTGGGAAGCAAGAGAAAGTGCACACGCCCATCACCATTAATGGAGCCACTGCAGAGAGGGTCAGCAGCTCCTCAGCAGTTCCTCATCTAATCTCTCTCTCTCTCTCTCTCTCTCTCTCTCTCTCTCATGAGGTTGGTCATCCTTGCTGTTTGATAGACATCCACACTATTCTCTTCCTCTAGTTGGTTAACCAGGGTGATCAGGGAACACAGGATCCCGGCACTGGGCCCTCCATACCTACACAGCCACACAATAAAACAGAAATCTTTCAAAGACCTCCAAAGGAATGCATTAATTACAAGCAAAAGTGAGGACACGTTTAGCTTATAATGGAAAGTTACACATTTGCTTTTGCTGCGGCTGTGAATGTAAATATAACAGGTTTTTATATCCTCAGTGTTGGCCCATATGGCACAATCAAAGCCAGGCAGACATTCAAACAGGCTAAGAAAAATTAACCAGCTTATACACAGATCAGGCATAACATTATGACCACCTCCTTGTTTCTACGCTCATTGTCCATTTTATCAGCTCCACTTACTATATAGGTGCACTTTGTAGTTCTACAGTTACAGACTGTAGTCCTTCTGTTTCTTTGCATACTTTGTTAGCCCCCTTTTACCCTGTTCTTCAGTGATCAGGATCCCCATGGACCCTCACAGAGCAGGGACTATTTGGGTGATAGATCATTCTCAGCACTGCAGTAACACTGATGTGGTGGTGGTGGGTTAGAGTGTGTTGTGCTGGTCTGAGTGGATCGTATACAGCAGTGCTGCTGGAGTTTTTAAACACTGTGTCCACTCACTGTCCACTCTATTAGACACTCCTACCTTGTCAGTCCACCTTGTAGATGTAAAGTCAGAGACGATAGCTCATCTGCTGCTGCACAGTTTGTGTTGGTCATGCTCTAGTCCTTCATCAGTGGTCACAGGACGCTGCCCACAGGACGCTGTTGGCTGGATATTTTTGGTTGGTGGACTATTCTCAGTCCAGCGGTGACACTGAGGTGTTCAAAAACTCCAGCAGCACTGCTGTGTCTGATCTACTCAGACCTATGTTTAAGATGTTTAAGATTTTTACCTTTTATTGTTTTTTTAGTCTTAAACACTTTGTCTTTGTCTATATGTTGCTGATGCCTGAGACATTGTTTTACAATAGTTTTGAGATAAGATTTTAGCCTTCCACATATTTTTTAAAATCTATTCATGGTGTAGAGGTATATGCAGGGCACTGTAGGGCAAACTAACACTCAAAATAAACTTACTTATTACATATAAAAACTCATGTGACACTACATGAAATGGCTATATTAATGACATCGTAACCCCAGGTTGCTATCATCACTATTGCAAAGAAAAGTCTAGAGCCTGGGTAAGTGGTGATGAGTCAAAGTGCAACCAGAAAGTGCATCAAGTAGCGTTCTGGTGCAGGCACAAAGGCACACAAAGGCACAGAGTTGTGCCTTCTTGTTGATATAACGGTAACCTGGGTGGAGAGAAAATTATGACACATGGACCTTTTCAGAAAACATTTGAATTATTATTCTGAATGCTTTTTATAGCAAAGCTTTCTTGCACAAAAGAACATATAGTATATTAGATAACCACACACAGTATAACAACAACCTTAGAATCTGAGACATGGCCTCCAAAATTTACATTTACATAGTTTACAGAATGGCAGCCATCTAGAGCTCAGTTCAAATGCTGGGCACTCCAAAGGTGTAGGAGACCCCAGCTTCAGTGGTGCTCCTGATTTTTTTATTCTCAAAAGTACAATTATGATTGTACATTTTTCATTTTCAGTACATCTTTTCATATATGGAAAAAAGGTAAAACCCATGAATGTGAAATTATGCATTGTGAAGAATGCAGGTACAATCAAGACAATGCTTTATTCACTTTTAAAAAATTAGGTTTTAATAGCCATAGTTTTATGAGATCTTCGCAACTATAAGTACAGCACATCAGTGTTTTCCACATGCCTCCTCCACAAATAATAATAAGAAAAACAAAAATGTATAAGGAGATTGTATAATGTATATAAGTTATAGGGAAAGCTACTAAATGCTAAAAAGTTGGGAGACATGGTAGAACTCGAAATTAAGGTTTAAAGAAGCAGTAAAAGGTCCATGTTAGTAGTTACTGCTGTTTGTGGTTCAGTCTGTAAACCTTCAGTATGCTACAAGGACATAGTGGTTAAAGGATGTATTTGAAAGCATCAACTCACACAAATTTTAACAAGTCTACATTACATGAGCAACAGAACGTCTAAGAAGTGTAATTTGGGTCAGAAAATAGTCTCTGAGTACTGAGACATAAAGTAGACACTGTCTAGAAGAGGAAGATCTGGGAGGGTTGTTGGAAAAACCCATACAGGAAAAGTTAAAGTGAGCTTGTTGTCACATCCATTTTGCTATTTTTTTTTTTGTTGTTGCTATGGCCAAAGGCACTGTGTTGTGACAGAGGAGCTGTTGTAGGGTGGTTTGGGGTAGGGGGGAAGTACAGGCTGGGCAGTGAGGCTGTCTTTGAGCGGTGGGGTGAAAAGGTGAAGATAAGCGGTGGTGCTAGTGGTGTTTGGCACAGTTGCAGCTGTTGGTGTGGGCATTCTTTGCAGAACCACGTGGGGGTACACCTGACTCTCCGTATGGTATAGGCCAGGCAGAGGGACACTCAGCAGGCTCTCCTGACTCCTACCACACACACACACACACACACACACACACACACACACATACACACACACACACACACACACACACATATATATATATATATATATATATATATATATATATATATATATATATATATATATGTGTGTGTGTGTGTATAAGGTATTTGAACACATAAATTTTGGTAAACTCAATGTTATTTGCATGGTGTCTTTTTTAAACAGTCATCATCCATGGCTCTAATGGGTAAGATGAGGGGTTTCCAAACAGTCCTGAAAGGCCAGTGTCCAGCGCACAGGTTTAGTAGATGCATTTGAGTAGGGAATGAGCAGATTGTGCTAGAAACTGTCCCTTCAGGACCAAAGCTGGACACACCTGATGTAGACAATTCTTTAAAACTTCTACCTCTGATAGCCATGGTTCTTGTAGCCTGCAAGGCTGCCCATGTACAGGGGGCTGTCAAGAGCGAGACATGGTTCCAGACACTGGGACAGATGGTAAATCTTTGGAGGAGGAAATTCGTCCCAGTCTCCCTCCTCCCTTTCCAACCAACACTCACTCTTATGACAGGACCGAGGCTTATCTCTCCTCCTGCAGATGATAAATGAACAGAATCATCTTCATCATCATCAACACACACGTTTCTTTAACTGAAAATCATCATAACCACCACTCATTGTGGACATAACATCCATATGTGGTTGCTGAAGATCTCATTTTAATGATTTTGGATGATAAGACCTGGCTCACAGTCGACATTCCAGTCCATTAAAAAGGTATTTGATGTGGCTAAAATCAGGGCTCTGCGCAGGCCAGTCAAATTCTTCTACACCAAATTTAGAAAGCTATTTCTTTATGGACCTTGCTTTGTGTATTGGGGTATTATCATGCTGAAACACAAAAGGGCTTCCTCAAACTGTTGCCATAGTTGGAAAAACACAGTTCTCAAGAATGTCCTTGGATCTGTCTCACAGTCATTTCAGCATTTCAGTAACCATGTAACGTGTATCATGTACACAGTACATGACAGTAATTGTTGCACTTACACATACTGTATACAGAGTAGCACACAGTACCCAGTATGTCAGATTGAATGACCTACTGCTTTACGGCTGAATGCTTCCATTTTATAATATACTCTATGAAAAAATGTAACTAAAATGTTACTGGAGCTCAATGTGTGTGGCTAAAATAGCCAATCCCACTATTTAGAAGGGCTGTCCACATACCGTTGCCTATAAAGTGCATGTATTTTATGTGTGTATGTGTGTGTGTGTGTGTGTGTGTGTGTGTGTGTGTGTGTGCATACACTGCCAGTGAAAAGTTTTAGCACACAATGTTTTTTGTGGGTTTGCAAAAACTTGACATAATAACGATTAACCTATTCACATAAAAATTTCATTCACATGTAAATATTTACAACATACAAAATATTTGAAAAAAAGAGCAAATTTTACTTCTCACAAACTGAATATAATGTATTGTACCTTACTGCTATGGCCTATAAACAGCTTTGTCAACTCTTGTGCTCACTCGATCCCTTGCTCCATGAGCTTATCTAATAAACTTCACTTGATGTATTATAGCAATGGTTTGGCCTTAAGCAGTGTTAGGGATAATGTGGTACAAATACGAACAGTAAAGTGATCACTTTTTCTAGTAACAAATTAGTTTAATGCATTATAGTTCCTGCAATCACATTACAGTTACTGATGCCATAAGTATTTTGTTACTTCCATTACTCATAGGTCATATGCTCTAATATAGCAATATTAATTACGCACAATGCTATTAAAACGTACATTTCCTCTATATATATTTTCTGTGCTTCTCCTTGAATGTGATTTGTGTGCTACGTGCAACAGCTAATTGCACAACTGTGACTATGAATGTGAGCAGCATAGATCAAGCACAGGAAGTGCCATAAAATCGATGAGCAATCTGTCAGCATATACTCCTGCTAATATAAAACTGATGGATAAAGATCCCCATGATAAAAAAGCAAGAGCCCCAACCTCACCTAAACAGGCAAGATTTTTATTCAGAAACAACTCTGTAAGCTTTTCATATTATTCCTAAAAAATATTTGCAGGCAGCTTTATAGAGAATTTCTACTGACTTGTTACTAGGTTTTTAAACATCATTATCTGTTCATAATGTTAATCAGTTACTGTCTGTGTTTTATTCATGGCAGAGATAGAGAGACAGCATCTCTACCCATCTATTAGTGTAATTTTTTTTTTTTAAATAAAGTACTGAAACAGCATACTAGGTTTTGTATGGTTAACACAGAAGTAAAGAGATTATTTTTTCCCAGGAAGTAATTAATAGAGTAAATTCATTACAATTTGCCAGTCCAAGTTGGCCACCAGTTCAGTCCTTTGTTTAAGTGCCTGCATGTGAGCTCTGTATTTCACTTGTGTTTATCTGTGTTTTAAACTAACAGTTCAGCCATGAAAAGTGACTTTTTAAGATACACTTTAAGAGGTGCACCAGATTTTTTTGGGATTTACAACAACATACAACGGAAACAATACTACTGCTGTTGGACTGCATTTGGACTAAACTAGACTCAATTCCAAAATGTGTAACAGTGTAAAATGGTGTTTTTATATTTATTCAGTGAAATTTCTGCTAAATAGGATTGGCGCCTCACACTGGTTGGTCAGTGAAATGTAGCCACGGACTTATAAGGGAATCATGGAAAACTCTCAGCAAAGTAGACAGAGTGCATTGCCGTATGTATGTCCTCCTGTTCCCAACTGTGACTCAGAAAAATTCAAATAACGCTGTAAAGTGCAGTAATATCCCACATTATCAAAGTTGGGACTGGCAGAATGAGCAGTTTCAGTCAAATCTTTGAGCTAGATGGGGTTGTGTGCAGAAGTTGGTGTAGTGTAGTGGGTAACACCTCTACTGTCTAAGCTGTAAATTGGGGTTCAATCCCCCACCTAGGCAAGCACCCTACACTATAGCAATAAGAGTCCTTGGGCAAGACTCCTAACACTGCCTTCGCCTACCTGTGTAAAAAAGATCAAATTTTAAGTTGCTCTGGATAAGAGTGTCTGCCAAATGCCATAAATGTAAATGTTGTGCTAATTCTAGCTTCTTTCATTTAGACAGAAAAGCTGACCAAATTACAAACAAGCTACACTTTGTGGTTGCCATACTCATTGCAGTTAAGCTAAAGTGCATTTTGCTGTATTCATGGTTTTACTTATATTGTTATATGTTGGAGCACTCCAATTTTATTGTTGTGAATTGTAGCTAAAGTAGCAAGCTAGGGGGATGGTTTTTCCATGTGGTTGGAGAACTTGGTTCTCGTTTTTGCCACCAAATGGCACTATTTCGTATGTTCATTTTCTGTGTTATTTTATTTTGCTACAGCAAATAACTATAAAAAGAATGATGAAGTGAAACTGGGAGTGTTGCTTATTCACAATTATGTGTATTTTATGTAGACATCAGTGTGTAGGAATCAATAAGCCATGTTTATCTGATATTATCAACATATTTAGTAATTGAAGACGTATGCCACCACTATACGATCATTATATTATTGTATATACTACTCTAAACAGAAAAGCTAATCAAATTACGAATTAAACTACATTTTGTGGTTGCCATACTCATTGCAGGAAAAAAAATAAATCTAATATACCATTATCCACAAGTCTGTGTCCATATGTTGGCGAGGCAGGACAAACAGGACAGAAGGCTACGGATGTAATAACTTTCACTGCCTACTTGTGTGAGCAGGCTGGGGGCCTAATTCAGTCATCTGGCCTGCCTGTCAGTTTGTTGCTGATTTATCAGTGCCCTAACACGATTTGGCAAGCAACTGTAGCGGCTTCTCTAGATACTCTACTGGGCCTAACGCCCCTGTCCAGGCTCGTTCAGCCAACATGTTGGATCCTGTATTGCTGCTCTGTGTACTCAATAATCCACGATGCTTGCACTAGCCACGTTTACATGCAGCCTAATGATCCGTTAATAATCTGACTAATAGCTCAATAGAATAGAATAGAATACATCCATGTATGCACCTTAATTGGAATAGACTAGTCCGATTGAGGCCATTTGGAATACATTTTCTGTCTGATTGAACCAGGTGGGTAGTCATGTAAATAATCAGTTAACTAGAAGAATGATAGCCATGTAAACGCCTGTATCTGATTACATTCCCAATCGGCCGTCCAGTTTATGTGTCTCAGAGCATAATGTCTTCCTCTCGCCCTTCTTTAAAAAGTACATGTGAAGTACATTTTTCTGAGTCTGCCATAATTTTAGATCGGATTATTTGTAGTGAGCATTTAAACGCAGATTTTCCATCAGATTGTTAAGTAGAGTGAGTATATAAACACCCCAGTCTTTATCTGTAATCGGAATATTTTCAAATGGATTGGCAAAAATCTTTGCATGTAAACACAACCACTGTCGGGTAAGTGATTTGGGCCACTTTTACTTGCTGTGTGAACTAGAAATTAGTCATTTGTAATGGATTACTTTTTTGAGTAATTACCCCAAAACTGCCTGTGAGATGGTATGTAGGAATTTCCCAAGGGGAAATGGCAAGGCCAAGTCAACAAGGCATGCTGAAATGGGCAGGGTGTCAAAGGGTTTTATTGACCACTCCTGCTCTCCACTAAATGCTTGGGATAGTCTTCATGCTCCATGTAAACAGAGGTGGAATGGATAGGCTGAGGGGGGAAGGGTATGTAAAAGTGTGTGTGTCTGATTATGCCTTCCCTCCACTCTCCTCTGTCCATGCTCATTCGTTCTTGTAGGCAGCAGATGATGAAGGACACGGACATGGCGAGGATGACGATGCCACTCACCACTGATGCCAGCACGGCCACTCGCAAGCCGCGGTCCTCCGGTTTGGGGATGGCTACATGGCGCAGAGAATTCAGAACATGAATAAAACCTAACTGAATCACATTCTTTTATAAGCTGTGATATTTATTATTGTTATTATAATTATATTTTTGCCGTTTTTGACATTGAAACAAATTGAAACATTCAGAAGTGCAGGCCTTCAACTTGCTGATTCGGAACATGAACTGAATGTACTTGTATGTAATTATGTAACTCACTGTGTAATAAAATTGCTATATGTGTACCTTACATTTAAACAATTATTCAATGTAAATCAAATATAGAAAAACGGCAATAGTAACTATAGATTAAACTTCTGTTGTCCAGCTCTGCCCTAACAAATCATAACCAGAAACACTGTTTTCTGTCACTTATGGTGATTCTCACTTTTCCTGCAAATAGAAGGAAGGTGTAGTTAATATTAGTAGTGTCCAAAATGTAACAAGTGCTGCCTACTCAGGCAGTGTTCATTGGCAGGAAGGCACCAAGTCAGGCACGAATCAAATATTTAACAAAATAAAAAGCTGTCTACTGAGGTACCTCCATCTGGCTGTATTTTTCAAGGCCTTAGATAACCCTAACCATAATTGTCTCTTGGTGGTGCTCAGAAGACTTGAGTAGTAATGGAATACATAATAATCAGAATACAAGGCAAAAGGCAAATGTATCCCATTATAGATACAAAGAAAATGGTAGTAATATGATTACAGATACCTTATTACCTTATAAAAATCGCATGATTAAAACCATGCTTTCTCAGCACTCCTAGTGGTTGCTGTCCTTCTTGCTGTCATCTCTGTTGTTAGGTTGTTAACCTAAATCTTCACATGTATGCAGCCTTTGTTTATCCAGCTACCACTACAATAAAGTTGATTTCTGCTAGCACCTCTATAAGATTATGTTATGTTAGTGCCAAGCTAACAGTGGTTCCCACACTGAGTTTTTATTGTATTTGATAATAATTCATAGTATTCAATCAAGTTATTAAGAACAGCTTGCCACCGTTTTGGTAGCTCTGCCTGTGCTGTAATATTGCTTGTCTTGTCACTGCTGCTGCAGCTACAACCCTGCAGACAGATGAAGACCAAGCAAAATAGACTAGAATAACCATAAAAAAAGATGAAAAGATAAGTGGACACTTTAGATGCAGTCTCTAGAAAACACTTTTTAGGTCATTACTAACCACCACTGTGCCACAAGTGCAGCTTCCTGATGTCATTCATGATGTGTACAGTCAGGTCCATAATTATTTGGACAGTTACACAGTTTTTGTAATTTTACTTCTGTACATCATAACAACAGATTTGAAACTAGACAGGGAAAGTTCGTGAACTGACTTTAAGTTGGCTTAAAAAAGCCAACTAATTACTTCAAGATGTTAAAATGGTGCTAGTTCATGGCTGCTAAAGTGTTGCTTAGGTGTTGCTAGGTGGTTACTATAGTGTCCAAGGTGAACGATAACGTGTTTCTAGGTGCTACCTTAAACTGCTAGTGTGCTTTGGATCATGTGTCCTTCCTTTCCTTCTCCATGCTCTTCTCTTCCTATCATTTTGGTGCAAGTTAATCTTGGTTTGATCTGTCCAAAGAATTTTGTTCTATAACTGGGCAGGCTTTTTTAGATGTCTTCTAGCAAAGTCTAATCTGGCCTCTCTGTTCTTGAGTGTTACAAGTGGTTTGCATCTTGAGGTAAACGCTCTGTACTTATATTCATGATGGTGTCTCTGATATCTGATTTTGTGTGGAAGTGATTCTTGACCGACTAAGAAAGCTTGTGGCTGCACTATGTTAGTGACATCGTAACAGACTTCAGGCAGAGGCACCCAAAGCTGTCGAAGGACCTGGATGGCGCAGAGCCACTGTGGTTTAGTGCAGTTTCCCAGCTCTGGTCCTGGAGGAACTTAACAAGATGATTTTGGAAAACCAGGGCACTCAACTTGTTAACAGCCCCTAACTATTTTGGAATGTGTGTGTTAAAGCTGTAAAAGCACTATAATGTGCAAGAAAGTGTTTATCCAGGACCACTGTTTCTTTAACAGTCCTGCGAGCCTCTAAATACACACTTGAATCAGAATTTTCAAATTTGCATTTGAATTCGAAAAATTATGCTGCCATATACTACTAGGTTGATTTGGCCACTTCACTATACATGAGACCAATGACTGTGTGAGACACAATATCAGCTGTCCCTACTCTCTCTAAACAATATCAGCTATATCAGGAAACCAGCATTTTTCCTGTTTGCCTTGTGTTAAGTTGAAGTTGTCTTGTTGCAATTGACTTCCTCTTGTGCTTACTTAATTATTTTAAAAGACAAGTCATTTAAAAGTACCTGCAAGTGCAATCAGTGGCACTCAGTCTCACACACAGTAGCACTCACCCTCACACATGGGGCAGAGGTTGCTCCAATGAGCAGTGCCGCCCTGCAGGACACAGGAAATCTTCAGACTGCCCACCAGCTGGAAGCCCTCATGGCACCAGAAGGCCAGTACCGTGCCCAGAGACACTCCTGTACCCTTCTCTATTGAAAATGAACCTTGCTGCGGGGGTAGCAGGGACATACACATGACATCTGAAACACCACACACACACACACATACACACACACACACACACACACAAAGATAGTTACGGACTACTAATACATTTACATACATACAAGTTATACACAAACACACTTGTAACTGCATCTGTAAACCATGTACACACATTTTAAGTCCGTGCCCAAGACTACGAACTATTAATTACTTTGCTCATGTAAGCATATTGTTGCTGTGGTGACAATTACTTAAACACTGCTACATAACACTGACATAAGTATGCCACATACATGTCATGGCAGCTGCCATGAATTGTCATGACAAATTTTGTTTAGTAATTTCACAGTGTCATGTTAGCTTACATGGTAAATTTCATGACAGGTGTCATAATGTTTCATGGCATGTTTATGTCAGTGTTAATTAACAGGGTTCAAGTGTTACTGTGGTAACTTTACAGGAGAAGGAAGAAAACCTTCTTACCTTTGAATAGAAGTTTAAAAAAAAACAAAATGCTAAAAATGTCCCTCTTTGTCAAATAGAGGTTGGTACTTTAAAAGTATGAAAAGAGCAACCAATATCCACAATCAAAACACTTTTGGTAATTTCACACACACACAAACACACACACACACACACAAATACACATAAAAACACACACTTCTGTGTTAAATGACACATGAGGAGAATGAAATGCAACAGTAAAGGATCTTACACTCTTTAAAAAAGGGTCAAAAGGGGTTCTTTGAAGCAATGTCACACATAAAACACGTATCAATGCATGGTTCATCAATGAACTATTTTCATAAGTTAGATGTGTGAGCATGAAGAACGTTGACACCTTTAATGGCCAGGACCCACTGTCAGGTCCAAAGTTTTACTGTACAATTCTATAACCTAGGAATAACTCAGCCAGTTATTCAGTGTAGTCTATGTAGTTACTGAATAATAAGGCTTAATTTGAGTGGTGTATTTGTTGTAGACGTTATTAAGAATAAAATACACAGAGCCGTGCACTTTTAAAGAGAAGGTTAGTTTTATTTCAAGACGTCTTTGTACAGAGATATTCACAGATCACCCATTTGGTTCTGTCTCACCCTAAACTGGCTCTAAGTCTTAAGGTTACACATGACAGAGAAGCATAAGAGAAGTACAGAACATTCTAAGATAACCTGACAGAATGATTATTCTGATGAACACAATCAGGCAGAAGGAATTATACAATGAACCACAATCCAACACTTAGTATGTAATAAGACTGGGATTTAAAGGGTTGATGAAATAAATAAAATGAAATAAATAAAAGGTGGTCGTTGACTGGTGCACAGTACTGTACATTCAAAAATAAAACACGGCACAAAAATAATGTTCTTTCGATGAAACTGAATGTGGCATGTGCATATTAATTTCTGCAATTTAATCAAATATGTTTGTCCTCTTTCTTTTAGGCCACCTCATGCTGTTCTTCTCTTTTCACTATTAATGGTCTCTTTTTCCACACAGCATCCTCTCTACTCACTTTCACTGTTCTCCTCACAGCACCTCCCACACAATACTTTGCATGGTCAACATAGTGCAACATCAAGCTCACGTCAACTGCAAAATAAAGCTCAGGTGGTTGATAGAGTACACAGGAGAGTATTTTTCTTAACAGCACTGTGTACTAGCGAGAAGTCACCCCCACAGAGCAGCTTATGATTTGATAAACCTGCATGCTATTCTCCTTTGCATTCTCTTTTCTCCTCTCCGATCCTCCCCTTTCTCTATTACTTTTTGCTCTCTCACACCATTCCTCTCTCTCTGCCCTTTGGGAAGCTGCTAGAGATGTCCTCTCAGAATAGTACGTGATTAAATAAAGATTAGGGTGGCACATTAAAAAATCATTCCCCACAAAGTCCCCACAGTTACATGACAGGTCCAGTGTTCTGCTGCCCCTCATCACACAGAGACCAACATGAAAAATAAACTCACTCTCTTCTGCTCCATTGCACTCCAGACAGCATTAAAGTGCATGTCCACTATAACACGAAGGTTCTAAAAAGGGGTTTTGGACTGATGCCCTATAAGATGCCCTATAATTTTTGTTTCCCTAAATATTTCAATACATTGTTGTTTAAAAAACATTCAACATAACGCAAAGGTTCTATACCAAGGTATACCAAGTTTCTCCTAGAAGCTTATGTCCTGTTTCCTACTCTGTAACCATTAAGTAATCTGTTTAAGCAACACAATGATGTGCAAATCATGTAAGTTTGTGTGTGTGCGTGAAGAGCTAAGACTTGTATGCAGTATGAAGTGCCCACAGTCTTATGTGTTGAAACCTTCAAGTGCACTTTTTGGAGGGCCATATTTACAAGCTCTAAAAGCTTACTGTACTTTGAAAGGCAAGTGTGTCCATTGAGTGCCACAGCAGCAATAAGACTGAACTTAATTTTCAAAGCTGGCAACATCATAACGGAACTGACACTGCCAAAGTCCAGTCTGCCAATTTCAATAGCAGCAATACAATAAATTAGGACAATTACAATGGTTTACTGTATGGTACTACACTAGTATTACAGATTAATATTAAAAAATACAAATAGGAATATTATACAAAGATAAATTTATTACAAATTATTATAGAGCTATTATACAGCACTATAGTAGTAGTTTCTAAACTAAAGAGTTTTGTTGTAGTATACTGACATTTTGTAATAGTACCCAGTAGTAGACGTCTGCACTCTTACAGATTTCTGCGGGACCTGCCACAATATCTTAAGGTGTGGGACTAATTTTCAGTGTTGCACTCAGGAGCAGGCAGGAAACCAGCACACTGGAGGCAGGAGCAGGCCGTAACAGGCACAAAGAGAAATTAATGAATAGCCTAAATAAAGTAGAAGGATCACCAAATCATTTATATAAGAACATAAAATGACAACAGTAAAACAGTTAAACATCTGTTTTTGTTATTGAATATACTTATGTACATACACAGGGCCAGAATTATAAAACACACTGCCAGATTTACCGAGACATTAAAAGCAAATAGCACATGGTTGCACGTTTTCTCAATCTTTAATGAGGATTAATGGTGTATTTTACCGCTTGTGCAATGTGAGACAATGTCACGCTTCATTCATGTACATGTGCTGGTGGCAATTCATAATGTGATGCAATACTGCACAAAATAACACCTGAACGGCTGTTCGGCAAATTCAATGTTTCGAGAATCCACTTCCTGTATGAAGTTTAGCTTATAATTCAAACAAAATTAATTTAACACATTGTGATTCTAATCATATGTTTGAATTTATTTTGTTGCAAGCAGTTTTAGCTTTTAATTCTATTTTTCAATTTGTAATGGATTTTAAAAAGGAATTTAATTTGTAATTATGTGGAATAGAAGCGATTGTGTAGCAGTTCACTGGCTATTGTTATCTGTTACTGCTCTAACTGCTGTTCCTGCTGCCTTCAAGTTCAAATAATCTTACTACATTGATAGATAATTTTGCTTGTGTCAAGCATCTTAAAACTAGCAAAATTATCTGCCAATATAGTGAGATAATTTCAAATAAGATTTAACAAAACTACCTAAAACAACTAATAAATGTATAAAAATTAAATAATCTTATTCTTACAACAATTTAAAAATTAGATAAAATAGATATATTATCTAGATTTACTGCAGTGTGGTCTCACAAATCAGCCACATACATTGACTTATTACAGTGGCCTGTATCAATAATACAGGCCACATAAACTTTAAAGTTTATCAGTTTTGTTATTACTTTCTAAACTTCAAAGGACATGAATACACTTTCAGTATGGATGGGACATTTGACAGCATATGTTAGCATATTGTGCAAGTTAGTCATTACAGTACATTGTGGAAACTAATCAAATATGTTGCTTCAGAGTAGTCAACTGGCCAAAAAGGAACATTTTTTACAATTCATAACTTATTTCTCTATGTGTATTATGGAAGAGGCATTTATGCGTTCTGTAGTAGCTTTGTTCTAGCTTAGTTAATCTTCACGTTTCCGATAGTTTTCCAATACTCAGACACTTGAAACTTTGACACATACTGTACCTCAGAATTTTATCTCTCAGAATTTAACCTGCAAGAGGTCACTATACACAGTGAATAAAACTCAGACATCGAATGTGACTGTGACTTTCTGGCTGTTGAATTCAATTCAGTTTTATTTGTTGCACTTAATATCCCAAAGTAGCTGTACAGAAATTCAGGTCCAGACACTTAATGAGTGTCTCTGAAGGATACAGTGTCAAAATTCCCCAAAAGCATGAGGAACAAAAACAGACAAGAACCAAGACTTGCAAGGACAACCCACCGAATAGTGAAGCTAAGATACAAATAGTCTTATCTGCCATTGAGGATTCTTGTAAAATACATAACACAGTATTTGACCACTCTACATGAAAGCTAACCTGTGTAGTTACTGGCAGGGGACAGTGTGCTGTTCTCCTCATCTTCATCAGCAGGAAAGGCAGTGGTCCTCTGAAGCATGGGACTAACTGAAGAATCCCCTGTTGGCACCAGTGCCCAAGCCAGAGTCCATGTGGTCGTGCAAAGAAGAGGCCATAAAAGCCCTGTCTTCCAGGCCCCCTCTAACATAGCAGAGCACTGTAGGTCAGAAATAGGAAAAAGTCAGGAGCAGACACTTTCTCATGTCCAGATTTTGGGTTGCCTTTGGCCCTTGACAGGCCACAGCCTGTTACTTCCCTTTAGTTACTCCCCTTCAGTTCTTGCCCGGTTTAAACTGAAGGGAGACTTTGCATTTGCTTCTTTTCCCAAGCAGAGACTGACAGCGCTGTGCTGGGTCCGTTCTCTGTACGCAGCTGACCGTGGCCAGTTCTGTGCCGGCCACCCCCACACCCCCTCTACCACCGCTAAGCTGCTTGTCGCTTCAGTCTCGCCAATCTGCTGCTGATGCTTATCCACTAGCACAGTAAGCTGTGGACCAGTCATTTATGCACTCTTAAACCCTCACTTTTGCCTGCTGATCTCTCTCTCCCTCTCACACTCTCACTCTCTTTCACACACAAATTCTCCTTCTATCTCACTCTAACTCTTTCACACAAACTCACACTCAAACACACACATTTAAACCCCTTTTCTGTCCTGCTGTCTCTCTCTCTGTTTCTCTCACTCTCACACACATGTACATTCTCTAGCTCTCTTTCTCTCCAACACACAAACAAACTCTCCTCACTCTCTCATTCTTGTTATGTGGATTTTCTGAGTGTTGTTGTGGTTGAAGCCTAATGAAAAAAGGTCAGATCTTATGGTCATATCAACTAGAGAAATTAATAAAATTGCCACACACTGTGTCCTCTATTTTTAATGACATTCACTCAGGCTCTGATCTTTGTGCTGAACCTACATGAAAAGTTGGGCCAATTTTAGATTAGCTCTTAAATGATTCAGTAGAACTATCTTGACTGTCACAGGCCACTCCACTTCTAAATTTACTGATAGCATGTTGAAATTTGTGATCTGTCAGACGAGGTCCCTTTCATTCCTTGCTATATATTCTCTCTCTCTCTCTCTCTCTTCATATGTGTTGTACTGCCATTAACACTCTTTGCCTCAAAAGCAGTCCTTCACTCAGTTTTTCTCGGTTGCTTAAACACTATTGTTAATTCAGAAGCCATATTTACACATGATACTAAATATAGGCTTGCTGGCAAAAACAATACTTTTTCTTTACAAAATGGTCAAACTTCCACAAAACAATAAAAACACAACACAAAAGTAAACTTTTTAAATAAAAACACTACAACTGGCAACAAGAATAGAAGAAGAGCTACAGTGTGTTGGCTTAGAGTTATGTTTGATCCTTTTTCCACCTTCTGTCATGGACAAACTATGACTGATGACATGGTTTATAATTGTTTGGTCTGAATTTCACTGTAAATTATGGTATGGCAAAGCCTTCTGTTTGAGCCCCTCTAACACAGTCTGTCCCTTTGCTGATATACTCAAGCCTAAGGTTTGGCCTCTTTTTGGACAATGCTGCCCTCCAATACTTACACCTGTATTTCAGAGGAATAGAAACAGCAAGCCTCTGTTTAGAACATTCTTTAAATAGATTCAAACACAAAGAAAGTTCAGTTTGGAAATATGGCAAAGCACAAGTCCCGTTTTCAAACCATGATATGTCAATAAACTATAATAATAAACTTTTGTTTATACAGTGCCTTTCGTATGTTAAAATGCAGCTCAAAGTGCTTTACATAAAACATAAGGAGAAGAAGGAGAAAATAAAAACATTGAGTAAAGAGGGGTAGAAATAAAAACTAATTCTAGAAATGAAAATTCCAAAAATACAAATAAAAAATCACAAAATAATTAAGTAGATGATAAAATAAATTATTAAATAAATAAAATAAAGTAAAACTAGAAACCACAACAGGAGAAATAATACAATATAAAACTAGAGAAGAGCGAACGTTAAAAACAAGTTTTAAGCTGCTTTTTAAAATTGCTAACTGCTTGTCTTATGTCTTATGGGAGGGAGTTCCACAGTTTAGGAGCATATACACTACATGCTGACTCACTGCTTCTTTGTGTTTTGTTCTAGGAATAGACAGTAATCCTGTATTTGATAATCTTACACATTGTTGTGATGTATGATGAGTTAAACAATCTGACATGTAGGCAGGTGCTACAATTACACTTATAATGAGAATTTAAATAAGAGAAGCTAGTACTACAGCACAGAAGAAAAGGGACATCTTCACTTTCTAAACCACTCCAGCCTGCTGTGCAGGTTCAGTGGTAGAGGAGGCCTCCTGCAAACAGTGCTGACAGGGTTTGTTCCCTGTTAAGATCTAAAGAGGTTTAAGGGCGACTTAGGCAACATTGATAGGTTATGTAATGCTACAATGGTTATTTCCTCCCCACGGACAACTTAGAAGGCAGACACACACCTCTTTTGTGGTGTATTTCCATTCATGTCTGTATTACTGTAGTTAAATAATGCAAGGTTAATACCTAACTGTAGCCTTATTGTCAGTTACCAAGAGAAAATAAAAAATAAAAAAAAAGAAAGAGAAACAACCGCTGTCAGAATTTCCACAAAAATTCAAAATTTACATATTTACCATCATCCTGGGGAACTAATCACACAAATAAAGAGTTGACCAGCATACCCACATCCAAAACACAACATATGCTGGTTTTCCTCGTGACCAGGCATGTGGGTCAATGCTTGTATTTATTTATTTATTTATTTATTTATTTATTTATTTATTTTACCAGTGTATGCCCCAAGTGCACGGAGTCGTTTAGTGTTTTATTCACTCTCATTCACCCACAAACTGCATAACGACTAAAATTACGTTCTCCATCGGGCTGGTCTCTTCATAAGGCAAAGCAATCCCTTTCTCAGATTAACAATCTGGTGTTTCAAAAGTAAAGGAGTAGGATTTAGACACTGTTACACAACACAAAGGTGGTAAAACCTGGGTAAATTTGTTGTCGACCATGTTGTCGCGCAGCGCGATCCACTAGCCTATCATGTGACATTGCTTTACAGCTCAGTGCGAAATAAAGCCTCATTGCACTAACAACTTTTATCTAATTCACTGCTGACAATGCTTCAGTATTCCACTAGGTGGCAGTTTACGACCATTTTAAAGTTTAGAGACGAAGCATAATCTGCTTTAACTGAGTCTGTATATTATGCGAAAAGCTGTAGGTAGCACTGCTGTTTTTAATGCTGTAGGGTCTCCGTTTTTTAGTGCTGTCCCTGGCGATTCAGCTGACTGTGGCTGTTGACCGTGAATCCCAAACTGTTTCCTATCAGCCATGTAGTGACCCCGTTTTGGTGCAGAAGTCATTATTTCAGGCTACTGCAAACTAAGAGAAGTAGCTGTCCTGCCTTACTGCTATGATTGGCTAGTGGTTCATTCTCGTACCTGCAGTCTGATACCCCGTCGCAGCAGGCGGGTTTTGTCCACGTACAGGTGTGGATAAATTAGACATACCCTGTTTCCAGCATTGATCTCTCAAAGAGCAAAGGGGGCGCGGTTAGGGCGTGGCTTAGAGAATAAACGCACTTGTAGAGCTTTAAATTTAAACTGCAGCTTGAAAAAAGTTTTTGTCATAAGTTAAAACGAGCGCTAGTTTTCCTTATGCCACTGATTATTTTGCATTTCCGTTTATAACTGACGTTTTGATATCTGCAAACCTTAAAGAAAATGGCGACACACAAATAGGAATTAACAACAGGCAAAAATGAGTTATCTTTTTTGTTAATACATAGTGTGAGTAATAAAAGAAGGATCTGTATACCAAAGAAAAAAGTCATTGCACTGACTATCCGTGCCAAATATAAACTTTAAGGAAAAGACCAACTTAAGGCTTTAGGAGTCTTACAGAAAGGGAAATGCTTGCTTTTGTAGTATCCTAAGTTACAGCAAGAAAGTACAAAAGTTCGCCAAGTTACAAACAGTGGGAGAACCGTTCACAGCTGATTTGTGAGAAGCTCTTCACTGCAAGTTTGGACGCCAGGGAAGAAACGCCAACAAGAAGAAAACAAAGAATACTTCTAAATAAAGAAGAAAAGTCAGATGAGGCTGGAGAGCGCTAGAATGGACCTCTTCAGAAGATTATGGACGGCTCGGAAGCTGATTCTTGTGGTGATGATCCCGCTGTCTCTGCTGCCCCTGCCCCTCATCCACCCGAGCAGTGTGAGTACCTCAGTCTTTCACGCGTTAGGCTTTGTGCTCATAGTTTATTTCTGAGTTTATAGAGTTTATAAGTTTTGAAATAAATACTCAAGTGAAAGTAGCAACCAACAACTTGAGTACTAGGTCTAAAAAGTATTAGGTCCACAAATACTGAGATAACTAGAACTACAGTGGAACTTTTTAGTATATCAAGCATCTGTCGGCATAATAACTTGCGTTTGTTAGGCTATATCCTTCTCTTTTTGTGATAGTTATGGTCTGAAGTAAAATCACAAAGACTCGAAAATGAGAGGTGTGAGCAGCAGCAAAGCAGCCTGGGTACTGTCACCAACAGACCAAAAAAAATGTATATGACTGAAATGGAACAGAGACACAAATACACTCATGTAGAAGTGTTATCACAGTGCAAGTCCATCAAATTTCTTCTTAAGTAGACAAGAGTGGAACTCAGAAAATATAAATGGTTAGTTCTCACTTCAGGCTTGAAGCATCCAATCAGTTAGAGCAGCATTTTTTTTATTTTCCTGTTCGTTAACATACCTTGTTCACCTTAAGGACTTAAGGATCATTAATGATATAACTTGATATAAAAAGAAGCATGAAACTGTGCAATTCTGTGAGACATCTGCAGTAGCAGAATTACTTCTTACCAATTTGGAAAATGTCCAGATTTGGGGTGTTATACACTCTTGCAAATATATGTCATAACTGGATGCCCCCTGACCTCATGTCCAATTTTCATTTAATTGAATGAAGCATGTATGTGTTTCTGGAGAGCACTGTTTATTTGAAACACCAGCAGCTTCTACAGATGTTGTTTGTTTATAGAGTGTTATAGAGATTCATTTTAAGTCCAAGGCCTGCTGATGTCTAACCTTACTGACCCCTCAAACCATCATCTAGTCATCAAAGGAACACACTGTCTACGTTTTATATCTGTGGAAAAGGTATTCCACAAATTTTGCTCAATGACTTTAGCATACTCTCAGAACAATGTTCTCAATCACACTACAACTACACCTGTAACGCCCATCAGAATAGATGACAGCTGCAAATAGATTTTATTGTTCTAGTTGATATGCCAATCAGACACTTACTAATGCCTAATCGGCTCCAGTAATAATGATCAATCCCTTTTACGCCATTAGGAAATGCCATTATCCCCTTTCTGATTGGATTTTCATCAAGAAGCTGACTAAAGATTAGGTTCATTTTGTCACTGTCAAAACCAGTGCTCCTAATCATAGATTAAAAATAAAGACATCATGCATCAGTTAAAATAGCTTCATGCTAATTTGTTCTCACCCATTACTCAATGAATGAATGCGGCAGTTGTGTCAGACTTCAAGATAGTGTCTTCAGCAAACAATTGCCAGATTTTAGAGGGTCTATAGAATGACACACAAGGCTGGCCTGACATCTAATATTCTCCATATATTCTCTACAGTATTTTTTTTGGCAATATGAACTCTCCAAAATCATAATCATCATGGGATACCATGAAGAACAGAAATTCAGAGCCTACCTCCTCACTCAACTAAAACAACTTCATTCATGTGAGACCAAAAAGGCTCCAGGTCAGACCACTTAATAGAAATGAGTAGTGTCTGAATGGACCAATTTCCTTGAGCAACAAACAGATTAGAGCCCAGCAAAGCACCATGTGCTGGCCTGGAGCTTAATCTGCCAGCTATGCACATTACTATGGCGTGCCTTCACCTTTGAGCCCGGCTACAGCCGGCAGGAGACGTGAAACATAAGAGGGAGAGTTGGGAAGGAGGTGAGAGCATGCCAAGCAAAGCTTTATGTGGTGCTCCTGGCTGCGAAACCATGGCCACTTATAATGGTGATGTAGAAATGAATGAGAAGTGTTTTAGTTAAGAGGAAGTAAAGCTGAATGTGTGAAGTCAAGACAAGCAAGTTTTCAGGACAGTCACGGTTTAGCATTGCTGTATGACTATAGGATGTGTGAGTGGGTATTAATGCTGCTTGGCTGCTTTTAGCCTGTTATGAAACCTGATTAAAACATCAATGTTAATCACCTGACTAACTTCCTCTTTGCTACAGCCTAATGGCCATGCATGCGTAGAGCTAGACTAATTAAATCTGTATACATTCTTAAAAATAAAAAGTGTTCGATGAACCACTTTTGTACTTAAAATAACTTTTGTACTTAAAATAACTTTCAATAGATGCTTCTTTAAAGAATTTTTTTTAAAAATGAGAGGACGGGGAAGAAGTTCCACATTAAGGGAGCACCCTTAAATAGGAGAAAATGTAAGCCTTTTAAAAGTTCTGCACACTTACAAATCTCCTTTTCAAATCTCATTCTTCTGTAGCATCGCTCAGAGAACCTCAAAGTAGTTGTCAGGGCCCCTAGATGGTCCACATTTTTCCTCTATCCCCAAGTGTTGCCAGTTGGGTTGGAGCAAAAAACTCTATCTCGGGCTTCCTGAGGATCGGTTTGACACGTTCTTATTTAAAAGACCGCACTGAGACAGAAACATCAGACTTTATTTGCTAACGAAATCTGTAGATGCATCCAGACGTGTTTTATATGCTGTTCTGAAATTCTAGTTCTGCAATTCTGCAATTCTATATTCCAGACTACAAATGGCACTGCCAGGCCTTTTTTTCATACAACAAGGGCAGTCCTCCATTTTTCTTCTCTGAAAAAAGGTGTCCACAGATGTTGGCTACAAAAAGGGGTTTAATTTTATTCATTTCTTAAAACAATGAAAGCTTGCGCGTTGTTGAAGAAGGTTGTGAACAGTTGCAGTTTCTTGCACAAAGAAACAGCCACCTGGCTGTGTTGATGCAATGCCAGGAATGCCATTTCACAGTTCTTGATTAATTACAGCTGAAGAAAGTGGTCCAGCAAGCCATTTAAATTTATGAGATTTTAAAGGGTACCAAAGCCTAGCACTATGTGCCAAATTTTGACAGCAATCTGAAAGTTTCATTTGACAACTTTATTCTACAGTGCATTTTTTTTCAGAATAATTAGCCAATAAAACATATTTATTTAGATGAACAAAGTTTCCCATTCACATCCTCTTTTAGGCTTTTTGCACATGCAAAAACTAGCTTTACTAAGCTGGACTAAATTACAAACTGTCAGTGAGCTTTAACAATGTCTGCATGTTTTAGGTATGATAATAATGAGGTGAAATTATAATATCTTATAGTTGACAATTCAGGCTTGCCAAAAGGATTCTCTAAAGTGATGCCATAGAAGAATCACTGTTGGCTCCGCAAAGAACCTTTGAGAGTCTGATAGTTTAATGAATAGAAACATTTAATGACAGGTACTTTAGAGAACCAAAAGTAGCTCTTCTTTTGGCATTATTTCAAAGAACCCCTTGGCACTTTTAGTTGTAAGAGTGTTGGTGTAACATATTGGTTCTAAGATGTTCTTGAAATAGATATCTACAAAAAACATATTATTGTGATGCATCACATGCAGATATGTCTACACTATGTCAGAGAAGAGAGTTTCTTGACCTACTGCATATTTATGGTACACCTCCATCTGCAGGAGTCATCCTGTGCCTATGTGCTGATTGTAACAGCGGTATATTGGGTATCAGAGGCTGTGCCCTTGGGAGCTGCTGCATTAGTGCCCGCCTTCTTGTATCCACTGTTTGGGGTCCTCAAATCAAGTGAGGTAAGATAATTTTCCTATTTAACACATTTAACACAGTGCCTGATTAAAGCTTTACTATATTCAGTACTCTACAATTGTGATTTTGAAAGTGGAACATTTTTCCCAGTTTCTCTGTAGAGGTCAGTGTGAATTAGTTGCATATAATTTAGCTTTTGAGGGGTGAAATCTTTATTTGTTTTGTATGAAAAACAGGACATTTTCAGAATCTCTTTTTGCAAAGTTAGAAACAGAGACGGGCAGGGGAGGTGTTATGTGTGTGCGAGAGTCTCTGATTAGATTGCGTAATAGCCCTGCACTGTAGGGCCTCTGTCATGTACTCTTGACCTTCTGTGAAATGCTCTCAGCAGCATATCCTAGAAGCACTGCTGCGCACACCTGTATAATTAAAAGGAGCAATGGGGAGTGTCTTTTGTAGGGCTTATTCATGAAAATGCATTAGACATTTGTAGCTCACTGATTAATTAAAGTGTATTGGGCATTAAATATCAGTAAGGTTGATAGAAACATGTACTACCTGGTTTCCAAAAAAGTTGCGTTGCTGTTTTATGTAAATAAAAACAAAATAATTTAAAAATCATGGAAAATGGTACAAAGACAACATATCAAAATTTGAATGTGAGAAATTTTAATGTTTTTTGAAAAATACATGCCCATTTTGAATTTGATGCCAGCAATGTTTCAAAAAAAGTTGAGACAGGAGCAGTAAAGGACTGGTGAAACATCTTATAACAAATTAGGCTAATTAGCAACAGGTCAGTAACATAGTTGAATATAAATAGAGCCTCCCAGAGAGTCTTTTAGAAGTAAAGATGGGGAGAATTTCACCACTTTGTAAAAGACTGCATGGGCAAATAGTGCAACAACTCAACAATAATGTTTCTCAATGTAAAATAGCAACAAACTTGGGGAGTTCATCATGTACAGTACATTATATCATTAAAAGATTCAGTGAATCCAGAGAAATCTCTGTATGCAAGAGACAAGGCAGAAAACCAATATTGACTGCCAGTGATTCTCAGACCCTCAGGTGGCACTGCATTAAAAACAGATATGATTCTGTAGTGGAGATCACTGCATTGGCTCAGGAACACTTCTGAAAACCGTTGTCTGTGACCACAATTCGTCGCTGCATCCACAATTGCAAGTAAAAACTTTAACATGCAAAGAAGAAATCATAGCCCCTTCTCCTGGCTCGAGCTTATTTGATGGACTGAGGTGCAGTGGAAAAGTGTCCTGGGTTTGATGAATCAAAATTTTAAATTATTTTTGTAAATCGTGGACGCTGTGTCCTCTGCGCTGAAGAGGATAGGACCATCTGGCTTGCTTTCAGTGTACAGTTGAAAAGCCAACATCTGTGATGGTATGGGGTGCATTAGTGCACATGGTGTGGGTGACTTACACATCTCTGAAGGCATCATTAATACTGAACAATAGATATGTTTTGGAGCAACATATGTTGTCATCCAAACAATGTTTTAACAATGTCTTTTTCAGGGAAGGCTTTGTTTATTTCAGTAAGACGAGTACCACGTTCTGCAAGTATTACAACAGCATGGATCTGTAGTAAGAGAGGCTGGGTGCTAAACTGGCCGGCCTGCAGTCCAGAATGTGTCACGCCACTGATAACATTCGGTGCATTATGAAACCAAAAATGTAACAAAGGAGGCCCCAAAACTGTTGAGCAGCTGAAATTCTGTATCAAGCAAGAATGGCAAAACATTTCTTTTTCAGAACCACAGCAATTAGTCTCCCAAACACTTCCAGAGTATTATTGAAAGAAGAGGTGATGCAACACAGTGGCAAACAAGCCCTTTTGTTAACTTTTGCTGTCATTATATTTATAATGGGCTTAACATTTTCAAAAAACAATACAATTTCTTAGTTTCAATATTTAATATGTTGATATGTTGATAGGTTGTAAGGCAAAGACAAATGCACAGTAATGTTCTCTGCTCTATGGGAAAAAAGCCTTTAACTTAGTGGGGATTATAAAGTAAAAGTGAAAATAGTGTAAAGGAAAGAAAAGTAGGCTGTGCAATGTCTACATTCTGTTTATGGTCGTTCGAACAATTTTCTTTTCTAAAGCTCTCCACCACTGAACTATAAGAGGATCATGTAGCTAGGCAGTCATCCTGTCTTTGCCTTTAAGATAGACAATATGTAAGTTGGAGCAACTGAAATATCCTGTTTAACGAGAAGTACTAAAGCACAGTATCCAGCTATGTTCTTGTAAATTGTTCAGTGCTGTCTACATATATGCAGAAGGCCAGATGAATAATGGTCATTCTGAAATCAGTTCAGTTCAAACAGTCTAAATACTACTGCCTCCTCTGTACATTCATGCTATTTGTGAGAAATCCCATGAGAAATTGATGATTATGTATTACGGCTCCAGTATCTTGAACAGGGCCAAACAAGAATCGCAGTGGTATAATATTAGATGAAAAGAAAGAAACATTCACATGCGCATTTTGTATAAAAAGTTGGGCTTCAAAATGCCAATGTTTCAAGGATGATGTTTTCAATTTTTAAATTATGCTTATAAAGATGCCATTTTATAAAAATGAAAATGTAATGTTCTGTGTCATTTTATTGTTACAGGTTTGATTATCCGAAGTTGGTTTCTACCAATACCAAATTCAGTTTAAATTATATTTTCAAAGTGGTCAGCAGATCCTGGCCGGACTGTTTCAGGCTGATGTAATCATTCTTGGAAAAAAAAGTAGCTGTCATTCCAAAATGACTTTAAGCCATTTAATGGAAAACCAGTCAAATATATCAGTGTAAATTTGATACCTTTCCAAACAAATGCAACTACCATAAGTGTTCATAATAACACAGATTTTATTTTTTTTTTACCACCAAAGCAAATGTAATGCTTACTTTAATGACAACTGTAACAGTAATAAAAGAGGTTGCAAATTTCAAAGCAAAAAACAAGTTTGAAAATACCGAAGATGAATACATAGAGAGATTTTCAATTTGATGACAGGTCACTTTTCAGCTGCTCTGTGGCTTTAAATGACTTTTTTAACATGATAAAAAGATATTGATATTGATAAAGATATTTGTTGCTTCGACAACTTCATATTATAAGAGTTACTTGTGATGGCCAAAGACCATAAGTCTTTTAACTCACTTGTCTATCAATCATTTGTACCACCCTCTTATAGCATCCAAATTAAACCTGCGGATACATTACGTAAATCAAAATACTGCATCATGTGACTAAATCCCATTGACAAACTTGACAAAGCAACCTGTTATCTTAAGTTTGTGTAATCGTGTTTAGTAAATATGCCCTTTTTACACAAGTCCACCACTTTATGCACTAGTCTGCTGAGCAGTGCACTAATTCTGCCCATCATTTCTTTTGTTTATTTTGTATTTCTTTCTTTCTTTCTTTCTTTCTTTCTTTCTTTCTTTCTTTCTTTCTTTCTTTCTTCCTTCCTTCCTTCCTTCCTTCCTTCCTTCCTTCCTTCCTTCCTACCTTCCACCATCACTAGCTTGGCTCATTTTCATTCCCTCACTTTGTGGCAATATTACTGGATAGAGGAGAGCTCCAGTGATCTAACATGTGCAATATATATTGAGTTACCAGTTTAGGTCCACCTACCTTGTACCTACCCTCTTATCATATATGTGCTGACTGTAGCTCCACCTTGTAGTTGTATAGTTAGGGATTATATCTTTATATTAAATAACCTTTTATTAGTGTTCAGTTTCTGACTATAGGACCACTAATGGCTGAATATTTTTGGTTGGTGGATTATTCTCAACCCAGCAGTAACAGTGAGGCCATGTCAATGTCACTGCAGTGTTGAAAGTTTTCCATGACCCAGATGATATCTGGTCAATGGGTGGTCCCTTTCCATTGATGGACAGGATATGGGGGCTGGTAAATTGAGTAGCAACAGGTGGACTACAGTCAGTAACTGTAATCCTATAAAGTGCATCTATATGGTAGGTGTCCCTAGTACAATGTCCACTGAATGTAGGTACAAAGTAACTACCTAAATAACTGGCAAGTCAGTGTAGTGCAGAGATGGCATATGTGATGTCTGCTACTCTTCTTTTTCTTTCTTTGGGTCCTGTTTTATTTCTGTGTGTATACTTTCAGGTAGCCTCAGAGTACTTTAAGGACACTACCTTATTGCTGATGGGAGTTATATGCCTCGCTGCTTCCATAGAAAAGTGGAACCTGCATAAACGTATTGCCCTCCGCATGGTGATGATAGCAGGGGCCAAACCTGGAATGTAAGTCATTTTCACACACAATTTCACACATAAATGAAATAGATATCTGACTGATATCTGACCTGAAATATATAGATATCTGATTTCTGAACCATGATGATGATCTGAGTGATTCTATATTTTCTAGAAAGTCATAAAACTACTAAAGACATTATATGCTGCATCATATCCCCAGATTTTTATAGATCTTCAATACCTTCTTAGAAACAGCAGATGTGATGCTGATAATGAGTCCTTGGTTTCTCTTGAAATAAGAACCTTTTATCTTTTATACCATTCTACAGATTGTGCAGTCAGTCAGTCAGATTGATTTGTTACTGGACAGTGTTGGCTTAATGCACATGCGTCAGGCTCCAATCCTCACTGGCCAAAACACTGCAGACTTCAGCAAGTTGCCTCGTTAAACACACCTGATTCAGCCCGTCAGCTTATTTGCAAGGCCTTCATGAAGGCAACGGTAAACACTAATATCTGCAGCACTTTGGCCCGGAACGTCCCCAGTTTGACATGCCTGGCTTAATGTGTCTGGCTTTACGGGGACTGGACTAGATGTAATTACATGCTGGTTGATGCATTCCAAGTCGGTTTTACAATGACGTGCTTCAGGCTGGGGGTTGATGTGTTACACAGGTTGGTGCTGGGGTTCATGTGCTGTACAGTATTCCTATCAATGTGGCTGAGTAACACCTCTACCACTGCCATGGTAATGCCTATTGCTGAAGCTGTCCTTCAGCAGCTCATCTACACTGGTATCGCCGACTCCCATGATGACTCTGACACTGTGGAGACCCAAGAAGATGAAAGCGGTAACACAAATCCTTTTGCCAATCATACATAAGAAAAAATCAGAATAAATTCATTTTGCAGATTTTACCATAAAGTGAAAAATACCTGCCTTTTTCAAGCCCACATTTATTGTTCATACACTGGCAACCTGTTGTGCTATTGCACCAGTGCAGTTTTGCAAATATCCTTTTGTTCACCAAGTCATACTTTAAACATCTTTTTGCAGATAAAGAGGAGACCCTAAACAAGAACCACCTTGAGCTTCTGTACCACAGAGACAGGTAGATGTTCAAACAAAAGGGAAAACTTTGCTGTATTGAAAAATATTTGTTTACATCTCAGACTTATGCATCATGTTTATTTGCTGTATTTTCTGACTCATGTTTATTCATACAGTTGTGAGAAACCTGAGCTCTGCACGTTGTCTGAGGTAAGACACATGACATCATTTGAACCTTAATACCACAATTCTGTGAGAACACCATACTCCATTTTTTCCTTCTCTGTACAACAGGAAGCTAATGGTCTTGCACTGAAGCCAGGTCTGGGACCAGACCTTCCAAAAGAGACTAATGGATATTTACCTGAGGTGAGAAGATCAGCACAGCTCAGCAACATACATGATTAAATTTCACATTCCTATAATCACTCATTGCTTGCACTTTTCAGCTAGCAATTGACATTCCTGTACCAAAGAAACCCAAGATTCGGAGAGACTCCTTGTATCCCACCAAGAGGGACCACATGATCTGCAAGTGCCTGTCTCTCAGCATCACATATGCAGCAACCATTGGTGGTCTCATCACAATCACTGGCACCTCCACCAACCTCATCTTTGCAGAACAGTTCAATAAGTATGTATTGCATTATAAATTAAATGAATTAATTTTGCAAGATGAAAGGTAATGTCATAAAACGTTCAGTCATTGGGTTTCCCCTGTTTGAGGATTTGTTTAAGCAGGCCAACACAATCCGCTCAAAATAAGCTTAGCCAGTACAAAAACATCCTTTTTATGTGAAAGAATTGTTGGAGAAAGGTGTATTACACCTTGCCTTATAGTTAGAAAGCTCCTCAGTGTGCTCTGTAGATCTACACTTAGTCAGGAAAGTCAGCAAGAAAACAGAATGCCAAATCTGTCTCTTTAAGACAGGCTTAAAGCTTTTTTGAAGCTACTTTATTAGGCTGATCATGTTTGCAAGCTTACTGTTACTTTTAAATATAAAGTAGAAAAAGGTAATTACACTTTAAATAATAACCACTTCTACAAACTACAACATATCAGTCATCCTCATACAAAATCAGAGTTTGTACTGGGTTATTATGCCAGTTCAGCAAACAGCCCTTGTCAGCTCAAATCTTCTATTGTAAGGAACTTGATTAACTATTTTTCGTCTCTTTTGCTGTAAACAGGACCTTGTACTTTCCTTCCACACCAGAATACAAAGACTGGTTTTGGGGCCCTTTGACCTACAATTAATTGGGTCGGTCAGTTCAAGGAGAATTCTAGTAGTTTTCTAGGGGGTTTGAGACTAAGCACTTTCATGGTTTTGCGTTAGAATTCAAGGAAATCACTGTCTGCAATAAAATATATTCTTTTCTTATTCCAGGACAGTAAATAATCTTTTAGTGGTTTTAGGGTCAGTTTGCCATCTTTTCCCGGCTGGTGTTGTTTCATCAATATGAGATTACAACTAGAGCAAGTTTGCTTAAAATGAGATAATGATAAATGTGTGGAATCAGTGAACTCTTGGAAAGTACAAAGGTTAGCCTGTTTCTTGGATCTGCAGATAACTGTAAAGGTAAACTTTTACATAGTGTAGTTATTATGAGTGAACCTTCATGTAAATTAATTAATGTAATCCATAATGGGTGTATGTTGTTAAGTTTAAAACGTGTGTGTGTGTGTGTATATATATATATATATATATATATATATATATATATATATATATATATATGTATATATACATAAACACATATTGTACTGTGACATATTTTGAACCAATTAATCATAAAATATTCAACCTCTCTTTCAGTCGATACCCAGAGGCGAAAGTCATCAACTTTGGTACATGGTTCATCTTCAGCCTGCCGATTGCTCTTATTATGCTGGTGTTAACTTGGATCTGGCTCCACTGCCTATTCCTTGGATGCAAGTAAGGATACACTGTCTCTGCCTACAAAAACCTTTCATGGTCCTCAAAATGGGTTATTGGTTATCCAGCTTTGTAAATCTGTCAGGTATAAATCTTTACCCAAATTCTTTAGGTACAGATCACTACAAAACTGTATACAATCTATAAGCGTTTCCTGGGAATCTGCTGGTTTAGACATGTGGATGTCTATAAACAGTGATAAAAAGATCCCTGTACTGAATTTCATTAAGGCCACCACAATGTTGTCTCATTGTTAAAACAACTCTAACAGTTTCAGAGAAACTTGTTCATGGAGTAAGAAGCGCAAAACCAAACGTGAGATCCTCTCAGAGAAACGTATTCACGAAGAGTACCAGAAGCTTGGTCCCATCAGGTAAAAAATAAAACAAAAAAAACAAACACAACATTGAGGGTCCCATTAGGATGCCTCGAACTGCAATGTATTTAATGACTGCTTCTACTTTTCAACCACTCATCTTCTTTGTTTCCAAACAGCTATCCTGAAGTTGTGACAGGCCTTTTCTTCATTCTGATGACACTGCTGTGGTTCACAAGGGAACCTGGTTTTGTTCCTGGCTGGACATCCCTGTTTGAGAAGTATGTGAAGACCCCATCCATGAATTTAACGTTTGTCCATAAGTACAAATGTTACTTTAACCAAAGCCTCTGCAAAGCCTACATTATTGAATTCACTCAAGAAGAAAATATGAAAATTAAAACAAGACTTTAAAATGTGTGATTTTGGCATTAAATGCACGCTGCTTTGCAGGAAAGGCTACAGGACAGACGCCACAGTTTCAGTGCTGCTTGGCTTCCTCCTCTTCCTCATCCCTGCACGCAAACCCTGGCCATCTGCATTCTTTAGCAAGAGCAAAGGTCAGAACTTACAGCATTACTCTTCATCACCCAGTGCACTGTACTGGCCACAGCTTTAATAGAAATTGCTAGGTGTAGCCAGGTGCAACATGGGAGTGAATTAGAGAGCTTGAAATATTCGTCCAAAACGTGGCAGGATTCGACTATTTATGTCAAGGTTTGGCTGGGTGATGTCTCAATCATTTGTCATGCTTGGGCTGGGTTCAAATTTTATGTTCATGTATCTCAGGTTTTCAGCCTGTCTCACACCTTTAACAGTTTTGGCCTGCCTTTGCCTAAACTGAAATTAAAACTTAATTTTAGACACATTATAATTTGGTTATTAATTTTGATTTTGTTTATTGATGAATTAATGATTATGACATTGTTGCAACAAGGCACATAAAGACATGTGCTGTCATTAGGAAAACTGAGTTTGTCACTTTGGTCTCCAGTTAGTTGAAGATAGGTTTGGGCAGAAAGTTCTTAGGCTATATTCAGTTTTGGCTTGATTAAATCAGTAGTGCAGGGAAGCTCATACTTTTTGTCTTGAGGGGTCAAAAAGGCTAAACAATATACAAATAAAGAAGGTAGGCAGGTTTCAAATCAAATTTATAAAATGTACTTTATAACATTACACTATATATTGTTACCAAAATAAAAATATGCCTGCTGTCTCATTGCATGAGGGGGTGGGGTTAGGATAACTTTCTAGCAGGCCTGATCAAATGTCAACATGGGCCAAGTGAGGACAGCCTTGCTTTAGCACATTGTTTGGAGGCAGAATTTGGAACATGAGGTTGTCTTCTCTGTTCATGCAGGGGAAGATGACGAGGAAGACGAGGAAGACCCTTTGGCACCTATGATCACCTGGAAAGACTTCCTGAGACTGATGCCATGGGAGATTGTCATTCTGGTTGGAGGAGGTTACGCCCTGGCAGCAGGGTGTAAGGTATTGATATCTCCTTGAAAGTCTCAGTGACATATATGTCAGGGCTGTTAGGGCTACACTAACCACTCTTCTGTTGTTGACTTGTGCAGGTGTCAGGGCTGTCAATGTGGATCGGCCGGCAATTGGAGCCGATGAGTGGCCTGCCTCCATGGGCCGTCACACTGTTGGCTTGCCTGCTTGTGTCTGCAGTGACAGAGTTCGCAAGCAATCCTGCCACCCTCACAGTGTTTCTTCCCATCCTTTCTGCCTTGGTAAGGACACATAAAGGGCAGATTGCAAGGTATAGAATGGTATCGTTGTGACGTAATCCAGCACTGTAAATTCCAACTCTGGACCAGAGATTCTCAAATAGTACTGGGGCATTGAAGATTCTAACGCATACGTTTCCCTGGCACCCATCTCTTCTACCCCTTACCCTATTGCACTGAAGCTACTAGGCTTACAAATGTAACTAACAAATAATGAACACAATTCACATCATACAACTGCACGCATAAATAATTAGACACTTGCCTCACACCATGTTAATTCATCTTAAATAGATATTCTTATGAGGTTTCTGACACAGAAGTTTATTACATAGCAGAAAAGAGTAGTAGCAGTCAGCTGTCTGTTGCCCATACCTTTGTGTGGTATGTCATAGCGTTGGAAACCATAACCAAGTGTATTTGTGCATGCTTAACAATACAGTGTAGTTTGAGGCAAGTGAGTGATGGTTTAGGCATGCAGTTTGCACAATTGCTAAATAATGCAATTGGCACATAATTGGAACTAAGTTTTCGTTTTCTGTTAGCTACATTTGATTTGTCATCAAACTGTTGCTTTTAATCAAAGCAAAAATACTCAGCTGTGGAAGTGCCTGAAAATGTGAAAACTGCTACCTCATACATTAAAAAAAATGTATATATTAGTATTAGCTATAGCTGATTTTCCTGCTTAGTCAATGAGGGAAAAATTGTTTAATACATCATGTTATGTTTTGAAAGGCCCCTGAAGCAACTTTTAATCTCTCTTGCCCTCTCAGTCAGAGACTCTGCAGATAAACCCCCTGCACACACTCATCCCAGCCACCATGTGTGTGTCCTTTGGCGTCATGCTGCCTGTTGGAAACCCGCCCAACGCCATCGTGTTCAGTTATGGACACGTGCAAATTAGCGACATGGTGAGACATCAGCAGTCAATTAAACTGGCCCTCTACTGATGTGCCAAGAACTATAGAACTCATGTTCATGTTCAAGTTCACATGCAATGTGCGCAATCAGCATACATTGGTAAATGCTACTAGTTCAATAATTCATTGTCTGTTATGTCTCCATTCATTTTGCAGGTAAAAGCTGGTTTTGGAGTGAATCTGATTGGAGTTCTGGTCGTCATGCTGGCTATAACCACATGGGGTGTTCCCCTTTTCCAACTGACTGAGTTCCCTGCCTGGGCAGTAATGAGAAATGTTACTGGCAGCTTGTAGCCACAAGGTGGCCACAAGCTTGTGACAGACAGCATTTTTTCCTGCAACAAAACAATGGAGGACACTTTGAATGTATGGCAAAAGAGGCACATTTTTCATTTCCTGTGATGGTCTCTGTTTGTACCCCTCATGTGAAGCGCAATGCCTTAGTGAAACACAGGGAGTAAAAGGCATTTTAATTGGAACTGTAAGCAAACCACATAGCATAAAAAAGAGAATGTTACCAGTTCTTTATATTACAGATCATTGCAGTGTTCTATTATGTACGGAGGTTTTTATAGAATTTAGATTATAATTGACATAAGGGTGACATAAAAATGTGTATAAGTCACTTTATACAACACCTTAAACCATTTACAATAAAAGAAAACAATATGATAGCAAGTACAAATCTCTTATATATATGTTTTTGTATGAACTAAATGTAAAATATCTGTACATCAACAGATTTACTTTTAGATGTGTAATAGGGGTCATTTATCTCCTTTAAAACATGATCAGTTTTATTGTTGCTCCAGCATACTGTAGGTATGTAGGCTCCTACTACTACGTATTCTTTAAAATAAGTGCTGCTGGACTCGGGGTGGGCAATATGGCAATAAAATAACATCAAGATATTTAGTAATGCATCACGATATTTAGTTTTTCTGATTTTTGATAAAAAAGGACCAGTCATAAAAATACTGCAAATAGTGATCTTCATCCACCGCACTGCAGTGTATAAACAGTACGCTTTTAGAAGGTGAAGATGTTGGACGATATGTGTATTACACTGCATGATCTTACTATACCACTGTAAGTCATTTAAACAGCAATTTTGTGTAGCAAATGTAAGAGACATCATAAATCGCTGTAAATACACGTTTCATTAACATACATTAATGAAATCACTACTGAATCTCTGTAAAATATTCCATTTATTTTCAACAAACACAAAACACATTTACAAAACCAAAATAAAATAATACCACAAGTTTTGTCTGTTTGATCACACCCTGTATCAATAATGTTATCAGCATGTTCAATGCTAGAGCCTCTGCTTTTCCATCTTTCTACATCCTTAAGGCTTTATTTTTGCATAAGTCACACACCACTGTGTCAGCTACTAACAGAGTCACTGATTTTGAAGTGGTGCTGCGGCATTACGCATACTGACTTAGGACACGCATGCCGTATAAGACTTCTGAAGGTACTGTAATCAGAGACCACAGCAGAAAAAATCCAGCCTCCAGTGTCGATTCCTATGTCCTATGTTCTATAAGTTTGGTGCCCCCTCAGCAGGTTCATATCCCTCTTTCTCAATCTTCTCCTTGTACTTCAGAAAGTCCCTTCGTTTGTTAAAGTACTTCACCTGTCATGGCAATATAGCACACACGTGGGCACTTTGCAACTGGCCATCACATCATAAACTTTGTGCCATATAATAAATCAGCATTATCAGGCTAAGATGAAGCTAGACTTGCGTTGAATATACACCTTCCACTTAATACTAGATGCTGTTTTGGTATGAGGACGAAAAAATCATTGCTGTCGACATGTATCTCCATTTTAGTCGATTTTTATTTTTCTACAACATTTGAACAAACCAGCAGTCCTTTACATTGTGTGAAAATTTCATGATGACTGGACTAACAGAAATTATCCCAAATCAACTAGAATAAAACCTCTTTACATCAACATATATTAAAGAAGAACGATTTTGCCCTCTCTTGTAAAGTTAATTTTGGAGATACATGTTTTTCTTTGGATGAAGTGTTACTCTGGCATTGTTTTGGAAACAAAGGCAGAAAATACAAGGAAAGCTAGACTACTGCATTGAATAAAACTTCATTAGTCTGAATACCTACCCACTGCGCAGGACAATTCATCTCAAACTCTTTCTTGTATTTCTCGCAAGTGGTGACATCGTTCTGGTTGTAGTCCAGGCACTTCCAATATTCATCTCGAGCGCTCCAGCAGGCTCGCCTCTCCTGTGAGTTTGGAGCACTCATAGCTAGATGTTGAATCCAACTTTAACTGGTATGAATGAGACTCCTGCTGGGAAGAACAAGGCATATTAGGGGTGGGCGATATAACAATATTTATTGTTAGTGTGATGAAGTATGTCTTATTTCGTCACAATATGTTTTTCTGAGCCTATTGCAGATACCATTAGTACATAAAAACACTAAACCGTAACTACAGAGCGGCCGCTACAAGAGAGCATAGACTCCAGAAGCGCAGCAGCAACACTGCAAAGACAGAGCTGCACTTTCTCACAGAATATGAAAAATACAATTACGCAAAATATACTTTCAGATTCACCCCCAATTTAACTTTTTTTGTGATATTGACAAACTGCCCATCCTGTTCAAGTATATGTAACTGCAGCCAGGAGAACCAGTGGGCATAACGAATAGGCGGAGACACTGTCAATCATTTCTTGCATCGGCCAATTGTATAACAGAGATGAACTGTCAATCAAAACTTGCATTGGCCAACACAAGTGTGAATTACCTGTCTCTCATTTTGTGCATCAGTCAATGGTTTGAAGCAAAGTGCAAACAGGCGTTACATACCGTTCAGGCACGCGGAAGTGGGAAGATAAACCGCAACTTTGCTTGTTCACAAAAAGTTATTTAATAGCCACAAGGTTCCTAATGAAAATTGTTTACCTTCAGTGTTTTGTGCTTATGATAATTTTAGGTCTCCGGTCTGCAGCGTTCCCCTGGGTGTTAAAATAGCCTAATAACATCTCGATTGCACGTTAACGTTTGGCTTCTCCTGCTTAGCGATGTCATCACTTCATCCATTTTTCGTCCATAACTCAGCTAGAGGACTACATTTAATTTAACTCCTTGTTGAAAAAGTCATAGAACCCATTAAAAGTGTCAGCTGCTTCCTGGTGGTTTTCAGTAGTCGATAATGGTATTCTGTGTTTTCCTGATGGGTTGATATCACAGTGTAAAGGATTCAAATCATTTAATCAGGTGTTCTGGGACTGATTCCATATACAGTTGTTCGTTTCCTAATGGCCTCTACCTGCAACCATCAAGCCAACTCCCGATAGGAAGCAAAACCGGTTTTATTCCTAACGGTTCTAATCGTCTTCAGCATGGCTTTCATGAGTTTCAGTAGTCTGTTTGTTTTTTCTGTGAACTCGACATTGTTTTATCGTCGTGGTTTTATTTTGAAAGTTTCCATATTTAATTACCATATTATCAGTATGGCAACGTTAATATACATTCAGTGTAACTCTTGTTGCCCAGAAGTTCGTGATTCGCTGTTTTTCTTCATAAAACCGACAACAGCACTGCCGTGGCAGAGCTTGCACTAGCGTCGTTAACAGGCTGGCGGTGTATGTCAGGCTGAGAGTGCATGTCTGCAGCCAGACCCTTAGATTGGCTAATGCAAAAAATGACGGACAGCTCGTTCTAATCTGCGGTTGGTCCATGCAAAATGTGATTGACGGCCAAGACTAGTTATTTAATTGGTGGATGCAAAAGAAATGATTGACAGACTCCCGCCCCTTTAGATCTCCGGTCTGCAGCATTCCCTTTCTCGTTAGACACAGAAACAGACACACACGATATAAAAAATGCCCTGTTTGTAAACACCTTTATGTATTTATTTACATTTTTATTATTTATATCATTTTTTACTCTTTCCAATTCCAAACTGCTATTTTTACTATTCTTTTACGTGAATTCTTGTCACAGCGTTCTTAGACACTGTGATGTTCTACATGTTCATTTTTCTTGTTCTATTTTGATGATGCTCCGGCAATACTGTAACTAAATATGGTCGCGCCCATAAAGCTTACTGAATTGGAAAAAAAATTGAGAGAGAGACAGAAAGACAGAGAGAATCTCTCTCTCTTCATAAATAACGTTAGTCAACAGAAGCCGGGCTGAATATCAGTGGTCACAACATCGAAGAGAACTCACCAATGAAAATTACATAACAGGATGCAAGCGACGCGTTTTCTGCCGTTTTAACTACACTGTTTTACAATCACTGGCAGCTTTTTCATAACCTTACTGTAAAACGCCAAACAGCTCACTCAGCAACCAAGGACGAAGAAAACAGCCGCCGAGCACTACATCCGTCGCTGCATTCTGACGCAAGAGGACAAAAGACATTGTAATGCTAATATATGACCACTAGATGGCGCAATTCTTGTTTCTTTTTAAAGGAATTACGATCTTTTTTCCTTCAAGCTCTATTAAACAATATATAATGCACACACAAAGGGACTGACAATTTAACAACTGAGATACTGGGGGAAAAAATACTGGGCTGAAAACAACCCAACCTGGGTTATGTGGCAGCCCAGCACTGGTTAAAAATTGGACATTACAACAACCCCCCCAACAAGTGCTGATGTGTGAATAACAAGAATAAGTCACAAGCAATCTTGTTTATTCTTTCATGTTAACCTAAGAGCAGTACATTAAATAATAACAACTGTAGAAAAGTAGATTAAATTACTACAGATGAACACTTGGATGTAACTTTTGTAGCTTGTCTTAACATTCTTATATGCTTATATGTGTGAGTTTATTCATTACCGCACAGTGACCGGCCCTCTAGGAATTCTCCCCACTTTACCAATAGTAGAGGGACAAAGGTCCCTCAAAGTTGATACAGCTCTCCTCAAGGTAGAACAAAGCACAAACATGTTGGTATATAACTTTGATATGTCTAGTTGTAAAATGGATGGTTGTATAAAAAAAAGCTTACTGCAAAAGTTTATTCAGCCTTATTAGACATTATTAAATCTTTATAAAGCCAAATTCAGGCTGGGCTTAAAGAAGAGTGTCTGCATTATCCCTTATATTTCAGAGAGTAAAAATCAGCATGTGGCCAACTTCAGACTGACTGTGCGAACATATACTCTATGTTACAAAGAAAAGATAACACCAATATATTGGTGCATTTTTAAATTCAGGCTGTAAAACGTGTGCCATAGGTAGAAACTGACTCAAAAATATAGTATGCCATTAGTATAATAAAGTGCGTAGCATTTTATAGGGCTCTATAGGTTGAAGTATTTGGCATACAGTATAAATTAATAGAAATTGTTAGTTTAGAGATTTAGTACAGAAATAAACAATAGTTCTTAGTTATATATTCTTAGTTGTAAAATATTCTGTGATAAATAATAAAATAAAGCATAGCCGCAAGCAGCAATCTGCAGGGTCCAAGCACAATGAAGACAACAGGGGTTTATGTGGTGGCCTCTGGTTGTAGAAGGCGGCAGATGGTTTTTTAAGAAAGACTTCATTTTTCTTATGATTTAGACCACTGTGTGATATATGTACTACAACTCTGTTTAACTTCCATAACAGGGAATTGAACCCACAACCTTAGAATTCAAAGGCAGATGTTCTCACAGTGAGCCACAAGATATTTATGGCACAGCTACAATTCTTGAAATAATTTATTGGAAGGAAGCAACAAGGAACCACGTACCATTTTAGGACAAAGTAGCAGCATAAACAAATTTGCAAGTCATGGAAAGCAAATCGTTAGATTTTCAAGAAAGACCCTTTCTTAAGATAATTAAGCACAAGTCAGTTATGTATAGCATGTACAAGAACAGCCTACATCTATGATGGGAAGTCAAACCCATGACCTTTGCATTCAAAGGCAGATTTTTTCATGGTGAGCTACAAGAGGTCCATGGTAGAGTTGTTTTTTTGAGACACTATATTGGTACAGAACAATAAGGAACCAAGTACCATTTTAGGAACTACTTCCCACCTTGGAATTATTGTGACTATTGAGTACTATAATTGAAAATTAAATCATAATACACCCTCAGTTTGTCATTTTGTATATTTGTGTCAAATTTGGTTATAATCATTCAACATTGACATTTGCAGTTACTAACTAGGCTCCATCTGGTGGCTGGAGAAAAATACAACACCCTTGCTCTGAACAAAATTTGCTGAAATGAAGTTATAGGATTTCCTGTACAGTTAAGCAACATACACATATTTGCAAAGTAATAATTCTCATTAAGATGCATAATTTGAAACAATTGTCATGTCTTTATTTTAATCTTAGACCGGATTAATTACGTTTTAGATTTTTGGCAGTACATTGAGCATTGTGACAGCCAACTTCAGGCCGAACAGATTCACTGATGTCTCGTGGCCATTCTTTGCAATAAAGTCAAGATTTTTTAAAAATAATTATTTACCTACAGACTCCACAGAGTGTTGTAAGACCAACATTGAAACAATTTGCTTCATATCCACAAAAAGCTCATTTTTCAAACATTTATCAATCACAGAAAAGCTTTACAGAATTTTAAAAGACTTGTATTGGATAAAATGTCATTCTCAGTGTAAACAATGATATGAATTGATTTATTTTGATCTATGATAAAATTTATAGGACTTATTCTTGTTTTTGCTCTATAGTGCCACCTCATGGCCAATTGAGGTCAAACTTTATAAGCTATTAGAGATTGCCTATGTGTACACATGATATAATTTTTGTGATGATTGGCCAATGCTAAGCCCTCCAAATGCCTGTTGAAAGCTCACTGGCCAAAGGTGGCCATATTTGTCCAATGATTGAGTTGTCCTTATTGGTCAAGTATATAGTAGCCCTAGGATGCAGCATGCAAAGTTTCAGCTCAATTGGCAGTTGCTGAGAAACAGATTTTGGTTGTTATAGCACCCCCTGTTGAGTAATTGGTATCTAACTTTGTGGGCTTCCACAGAATCATGCGGGGTACAGGACTGATAAGTTTGATGAGAATTGGCCAAAGCAATCTTGATATGGAGCCATTTATGTGAATTAAGCTAAACCCATGGGGTCTTAATTGACATGTGGCAGCTATATTGTTTACAAATTTTAGAATGTTTTTAATAATTCTTGACCTCCCAACTCCCCTGAGACCAATATTGTGTGGATATCTTGAAAAACCTCAGACTAGTAGAAAAATGTAGATGTCACAAATTTTGCCAATTATGATGGTAAATATGGGGGCAGAGCTAAATACATGCAATGGGTGTTTATGTAGAACAAAGCAAGGATTACATAGAAGCAAGAGTTTTGACTGTAGGCCTCACGGTTCAGGAGATATGGGCCAAAATGTAAAATGTTCTACACCTACCCTCCAAGTTGAGTGCTTGGATGACTTATGATTTCTTCTCCACAATCAGTTTTAGAGAAGAAAAAAAATAATAATAATAATAAGAAAAAATCCTAGCAAAAGCAATAGGATTCCATGCACCTAAAGGTGCTTGGACCCCTAATAATAATTTAATTCATAATGTGATAAGCCAACAGGAAAATCATTTCAGCTTCAAAAATCAGCATGAAGTTTTTTGTAAATATTAAACTATACATTTTTATTTACTACACGACAACAAAGTCTAAAAACAAACATACCAGTGTCACTGCAGGGCTGAGAATAGTACACCATCAAAATAATATCTGGTCAGTTGTGAATCTGTGATTCATTGATGATTTTGGCAGTGGACAGTTTGGTAGGAGTGCCTGATAAAAGTTATACTATGTGGTCAAAAGTATGTGGCCATCCCTTCTAATTTTTGGGATTAGCTATTTAAACAACACCCACTGCTAACAGAGGGCAAATATCTATGCCTAGACAAATACTGGCAGTAGAATAGGTCATAATAGAGAGCTGAGTAACTTTTAAAGTGGCACTGTTAAAAGAAGCCTTTCCAAAGTTAGTTTGTCTAATTTCTGCCTTGATAGAGCTGCCCCAGTCAACTAGAAGTGCAAATTGGAGTTAATTCCCTATAAGTACACTTAGTTTTAAAAATAAAACATTGAACAATCATTAAGGATGTGATCCACATACTTTTAACCATGTAGGGAAGGTATTCATAATAAATCAGTCTCTCAGTGTACCTCAATATTACAAGTTCCCTGGTTAGAATTTGCCATTTTGTATGTCTGCCCTTCTCACCACCCCCCTTGATATCATGTTCATCTACTATTGGGAAAGTGGGGAGAATTTCTAGTGGGCCGGTTACTGTGAGCTAATGAATAAACTCACACATATCAGCACAAGAACATTAAGAAAAAATGACAAAAGTTACATCCAAGTGTTCATCTGTAGTAATTTAGGGGTTAAAAAAACACCCCCCTTCCCCACCTCAACTGTTTCTGGTCCAAAGCTACATACATCTACTTTTCTACAGTTGCTATTATTTAATGTACTGCTCTCAGGTTAACATGAAAGAATAAAATGCCTGGGTCAGCACAACTATATGATGTCCCCAGGTCAAGACTGGATGATGTTCCTCAAGTGGAACAGCCATGGTTTGCTGATTGTAACTGAGTCTTGTACAGTAGATAGAGATTAAATGAAGCAGAAGTCTGTTTACTGTCACTTCCGTTCCACCTTAATTGATGTAGGAGTTATATTCAGATACCTAGTATGTAACTGCTACAGAAACAGAAATTCAAGGAAGAAATTAATTAACGAAAGAAATGAATTAACATCAGCCTTGAGAGATTAGTGTACCGAATGTAGCACTTTTTAGACATGAATCATGTGAAGAACAACAGAGGCAAGAAAACTCAATGTGGCAGTGAGAACACAAGAATGAAAAAGCTACAAAGGAGGAGGAGGACATATTTGAGCAGGAGGGCAGTGAGAAATACTAACCTTAACTTACTTAACTGGCATTAATTTATAGCATATTGACTGTCAAGATTATGTCACATTTAAGATAAAAGCTTTTGAGAAAAGAGAAAAAAATGAAAAAAAAAACAAGGTTCTAAGGTTGTGGGATTTTTAGAAAACGTTATTTTGGATGAAAGCAGTGCTGTTTATGTGTGTTTGTGTGTGAGTAGCAGCAGAAATACAGTTACAGTTTAGGGGTGGGTCGATTTGCATCATGCAACTCTGATTTGAAAAAAGTCCCAATCTGGCCCTGTTTATATACATAAATGAATACAAACAGTTGCGATCAAAATTATTCAAACCCCATTGCAAATTGTGTTTATCAGCAAAAATTTATCAACTTTCAGCTGTTTGCAATAAACCAATCAAAAAAGAACAATTTACATAGGTCAATACATCTAATATCATAAATGGTTTCTTCAAATTCAACACTTTTAATGACT